GCAAGCTGGTCTGAAATTTTCTAAGCTGAAAATAGCTTCTTTTGAGATATCCATCTTTCTAGCACCTAGGACTTTGATGAATGATTCAATTAAGTTCAAGGCCTATTTCTAAGAGTCTTAGGACATATGAAGATGATAAATTTCAAGTGCATTGTGTCCAAGAGTTATTTACCAAATTTTGGCAACAAAGGCTTTAAAGATGAAAAATTAATTCAATGCCTTTTCCTTTTCTTTTTAGAGACCAAAATAAATATAATGATTAATGTGCATGGTCCTAGAATTTCTAGCTTAAAAAATGAGTTCTTTCAAAGCTTATCAAACTTGAACTAACTCTTTCTTAGCAAAGATTTCATATGACAATATATATAAATGAAGTTCCTAGTCTATTGCTAATGGTCATAGGAGCATATGAATGATATATGACATGCATGGTCCTATAATTTTGAGTTTCAAAAAATATTCAAATATACTTTGACATTGAATCTTAAGCTCTCACCATCCTATCTACCCTTTTCTTCATTCTTTGACCATGATCGTTTAGGCTTGATGAAGACTTGCTTTCTTTCTTTGAAATGCTTTGTGTGATCTTTGAAGTCCAAGTTTTTCTTTGATTTCTTGCAACTTTGATGCTTCCTTGAATCCATTGCTTGAATGTTTGGAATGCTTTGGAATGCTTGGAATGGATCTTCTAGCTCATCATTGAGGATTAAATGTTGATCAACTATATATCACTCAATTAAAACATTAGTACTTAAACATCATTAATGGTTTGTAATCATCAAAACATAAGATTGACCTTTAGATAAAATCCTTAGGCCAACAGCAGGTTTTTGGATATTTAAGTTTGGAGGGTTTTGTGCTGTATCTGTTGGCAGGGTATGAAGAGGAGGGCTTTGCATACTGTGGTTGAGGTTATTTGGAGGTTGATGCTATGTTGGATGGATTTTTTAGAGAACGGTTTAGCCTGACAAGTTTAGTTGTTAGTGGAGGGAAGTGGTCCGGAGGTTGGCCTTTATGTGAAGGTGGTAGTGGAGGTTCATAAACTTCAATCTGTAGAGGTGTAGAACATGGAGTAACAGTTGGTTTAGCAATGCTCTTGGGAATGGACCTGTAAACTTTCTTGTTAGAATTTTTGGTTGATACAATGTGAGAGAAGGATGCCTTGGAATCATTGGGGTGAAGATTGGTAAGGGTTTAAGGTGGTTGGGAGCTGGATTGTTCCGAGAGTGTCTCAGGGGAGGTCTCATGGTTTTCACTTCAAGTACCTACCTAGTATAGGATTGCTCTAGCCTCTAGGTGTGGTGGTGTTGTTGACTGGTAAAAGGGACAGGCCTAAAGTGTCCCCACCCTATTGATCCTAAGTTCGATTCCCCTTCCCCGAACTAAAAGGGACTACAATAATGCTAAAATCAAGCTACTGTATTAAAGTTGCCAAAGTCAATGATGATCAGGAACCCAGAATTCATATCACCACTCCTAAAACTCTCATCACCCAATAATTACTCACTTGCACAGTAACATTCACATGCTGTGTCTTTCTACCCCCAACACTCCTATCGATTTTTCATGTCATCAACGGTCACATTTCCGTACAAAACAATTGACCTTAAAGCTGTTCTCGAATTTGAAGCTACCAGAGTTGTCATTCTTAACTATTTACCAAAAAAAAAAAATTTTGTCATTCTTAACTCTCATCACATTGTCGTTGAAAGAAGGTGATTGTCAGGTGACACGTGCGAAGTTTTGATGGAAACTGAGCTCCAGTTAGCTTTCGGGGAATTGATTCGCTAAGGCTATTCAGAAAACCAATATTGCTATGCTGTGCAACACAATAGCCACCAGGACGTACACCAAACACTCGAAAACAAAAATAAAGACAGAACTTAAGAATGGTCCATAACCTTAATTCTCTGCATATGTCGGTGTCAACACAGCTGATAGAACACCATTGACTAAAGATTAATCCACAGGATGGTTTTTAAATCCATCGGAAAAGGCAATCCACATACCCTTCCTTTCCCCATACTGGCTGATTTCAACATCTCATTCCAGTTATCAGGCCAGGTTCTAATGTTGTTTTTTATGCAAGGGATAAACCACCTTATCTCATAAGCAGGTTGCACAATTGACACCTTAAATCATGTACTGGGGAGAGAGCAATAATTATGAGCATGTGCAAATAATTGAAATGATAATGCTGGACTTACAAAATAGACATCTCGAGGCGCTAATAAAAATCATAACTGCTGATGATAATGAAGAAAACAAGCAAGTGTTGAAGCGAAATTTTCCATGCTACAATAGGAGAAGAAGATTTCAAGTTATGACATCACATGAGAACTTATGGCCATTGGAAGGATTAAAAAATAACTCATACTAACAAACAAATAAGTTGAGCTAAAGCCGATATCAACTGCTAGTTTCCCCTGATATTCTAAGTACAATGATAACAAACGGTCATATAAAACATAGGACCATGGGTTATGTAATATAAAGCTTTTTTGAGCAAATCTGTGACCTGCTCCAGCAACCATCAAGTTACAAGGTTTCCACCTACTGAACTGGAACTTGATGAATTGTTTCTCTTGCATCTTTATTTTCTTCTTCTCAACTAATCTTTCAAAATAAAGTTCTTTCTCTAGATTCACTTTAAAACAGAGAAATGAAGATTTTTTTTTTTTTTTAATGATATTTGTGTCAGCAGTGATTCCCAAATAATTGTGTCATTGTTTACAAGTATAAAAATTTGTTATCAGTAAGCCGCATGCATGACTATGCCTCCTAATGTTGCACCCACGATTTAACCTTTTAAAACTGCATAGAAAATCAATGTCTACTTGGATGCTAAATCCACAAAGTGAATGAACAACAGCGAGATCACCTCTTATCCATGACAAGTGGATGAGAAAAATTTTATAAAGAGAATTGGATGAAAATTTATATATCAATATTCATGTTATGCTTCTTAATTGACCAATTGGAATGCTAAATCTAAAGTTCGATAAAAGTACAACAATTCCATAAATAACAGTTATACATCTTAAGTAATCAAGCCTTCCAGTGATGCCTTAGCATAGAAAGTGTGAGTAATCATGAAAGAACCTTTCAAACTGCCCATTGTAAGCAAACTTGCAAAGTACGATATTCAATGTTATACCAAATTTTAATACAAGAATGCAGTAACTAAACCTGAACCTAACTTCCCCAAGAAGCACAATGAAATATAAGTTTTGATTCACAACTACCAGACATTTAAAATCACTCACAAACATGCAAGTCAAAATACCAAAGACAAGCTGACCAGTGAACGCCAAACTCTTGAATGTTAATAAAACTAACATGGAGACCATAACATAAATATCAAACTCTTTATGCTGTTCCATTTATAAATTCATAACTAAAATTATGGCTATCAGATTGTCCAATCTGCTGTCTAAATTGATAGCTTTCGAGCAGGCTGCTTTCATCAAGGGCAGAAAGATACAAAGTAATATCATTACTGCTCATGACATGTTGAAGGGCTTTGGCAAGCAAATCCAGAAATTCTTCTATGGCTTTCACAATAGATCTGGATAAAGCTTATGATGGAGATCAACGGCATCTTTAAAGGTGTATAAAAGGCGCCAGAAGGAGGATTCTAAAGATTCGATCTGGCATAGGCTACATAATATGGGTCCACATGGAGTTCCGAATAATTTGGAGATTTTGTCAACTTTTAGTTACTTTAACTATGCTATGTGGGAGTGGTTTTTCTCAATCTGCAATTGGGAGAGGTTTAATCTGCTGAGATCTTTCCAAGATTTGATCAATTGGTTTGTCAACTTCACTGATCATTTTCATATGAGAATTAAATTAACTAGAGGCTTCTTCAAATTCAATGCAATATTGTGGCAGATTTGGAGGGAGAGAAACCTAATAATACATGAAGACAAGTGCAGAGCTATTGCAGCTATTGGTAGAGAGATACGCGCTGAATGTCTTCAGTTTCTAGGATTATGTCTTGAAGATTTTCGTGTAATTTTTGGTTGACATTTTTGTTTTGGCTATTTCTTTCTTAGATAGCCTCCTTTCAGTTTGAGTTTGTCCTCTTTTCCACATTCAGGAGAAAACTTTAAAAAATAATAATAATAATAATCATAATAATAATAATAAAATAAAAGAGGAAGAGGAAGAAAAGCAAAGCAAATTTTTCATGGCTACTGAGAAGACTAAATGGGAGAAAATATCAACTTATGACAACACAAGGAAGAAATTATGGCAATTGGAAGAGCGAACAAAAATAACCAGCACTAAAAAACAAATAAGTTGAGCTAAAGCCGATATCAAGTGCTAGTTTCCCCTGACATTCTAAGTATAATGAATTAATGATAACAATCAGCCTACACTATTAAGCAAAAACCTAGGGCCATGGATTATGTAAGATGAAGCTTAAAGTGATCCTTCACTTTCTCAACTAATCCTTCAAAATAAAGTTCTTTGTCTATATCCACTTTAAAAGTATAGAGGAATGTTGTTTTTTAATGATGTTTGCATCAGCAGTGATTCCCAAATAATCGTGTCAATGTTTACCCGTCTAAAAATTTGTCATCAGTAAGCCGCATTCCTTCAGTCATGTCTCCATGCCTCCTAAATTCCTAATGTATAGCCCACGGTTTAACTTCTAAAACTGCATAGAAATTCAATGCCTACTCCGATGCTAAAGTGAATGAACAAAAGCGAGATCACCTCTTATCCATGAGAAGTGGATGGAAATTTATATATGAATATTCATGTTATGCTTCTTAAATGACCGATTGGAATGCTAAATCTACAAGTTCTGTGTGTAGTATAACAATTCCATGAATAACAGTTAAACATCTGCAGTAATCAAGCCTTCTAGTGATGCCTTTGCAAAGAAAAGCATTAGTAACCATGAAAGAACCTTTCAAACTGCCATTGTAGGCAAACTGGCAAAGTATGATATTCACTATCATATCAAATTTTCACACAACTACTGGACATTTTAAAGCACAAACAAACATGAAAGTAAAAATACCAAATAAGAGTTGACTAGTGAACGTCAAACTCTTGAATGTTAATAAGCTAACATGAAAATCAAACATAAATACCAAAATTAATATAATTAATTTAAAATTTGCAGAAGTACACCAAGAAACTACGAAACCTGAAGCTTAAAGTGCTGTGAAATCCCTATGGAATGTCACTTTGAGGCCTTGAGCTTACAAAAGTCAGCTGATTGAAAGACTGCCTTCAAACTGACTGTTTCTTCTTACTACTTTTCTTCACCTTCGCCTTCACTGTCTCATCCTTCAACTTGCCAAGTCCACTCTTCTTCTTCTTCTTCTTCTTCTCTTTCCTTCCACCAGACTCTTCTCCATCTTCCAAAATCAACAAACCACCTTTCTTATGTTCTTTCCCATCTCCATTCTCTACTTTAGCCAATTTCTTCGATGGTTTCAACTCACTAAGAACCTGACCCTTTGTTTTATAATCTCTCTTCTTTCTCTTCTTACCTTCAGAATCAGCACTACCCAATTCATCATCCCCACTCTGCTCACTCTCATAGTCATCTTTCTCATCGTCATCGCCGCCCAATTCTTGTTCTTGATCAATGTCAATAGCATCCATATACCGAACTTCATGAATCCTCCCCTTCTTAGAAGAAGAACCCTTCTTCTTACCTCCCAATTTCTCATCTTTCTTACTACTGTCCTCCTTGATTTCTTCCAACTCAACACCAACACTCTCTTCCTTCTCAGGCAATAAACCCTCTATTTTCAACTTCATATCAGGCAATGCTTGGTATATCGGCAATGCCAACGACTCCGAAAACTTCAAGTGAAGCGACCTCAAACCCGCCAATTTCTTGGGAACAACCTCCTCAACAGCCCCATCAATGGCTGCAATTACATTCTCAACAATCTCTCCTCTCTCCATCGAAACCTTCCCGACCCTCACAACACTACAAGTCCCCGTCCTCAAGTACAGCAACGCTGACGAACACCCCTTCTCAATTTGCTCCTTCCAGTTGTTGTGCGTCAAGTCCACCGGCACCGGAATCTTCTTTTTCTTGAAGAATTGCTTCCCCAGCAGCTTGGGAAGCAGCGGAACCACCCGCTTGTCGGCGAAGAACATGTCGTAGGAGTCGCAGAGCTTGCGCTTGGCCTCAAAGGGTTTGTAGTCGGACTTGAGCTTGGAGAGCTTGACGACTTTGCTGATCGGAATGTCCTCGGATTTGATCTTCTTCTTGGCGTCGTCGGAGGTGAGCTTTTTGGGGTTGTGTGGTCGGTCGTCGATGATGAGACAGAGCTCGGAGGTGGACGACTCGTGGAGAGGGTGTGGGAGGGGGATTTTGTAGGCGTTGGTTCGAGACTTCGGCGGGATTTTCTTGAGGGTTAGGACAAGGTACATGAAATCGTCTTGTTCTAAGAGTTGGGGCTTTTGGGTCTTCGATTTCGAGTCTTTCCATTTGAGAAGAGCATTCACTGCTCTTTCAACTGTTGCTGGAGTAACCCTAGAGCTAGCCGATGACTGAGGATGACGAAGAGCTCTACCAGTTGATAACGCCATGGTAGAGAGAGAGAGAGAGAGAGAGAGAGAGAATAGGCGACTGCTCTGTGTATTGCTAGGGTTCCGTGTATTTCAATTATGAATGGTTGGGCAGAGGACTGAAGAAGAGCGTTAGGTCTAACCTGAAGTGGGTTGGGCCAGGGCTAGACCCTATATTTGAAGGCCTAAATTTACTTAAGGCCCAAGTCCAGGACACTCATAATGTTTTAACTTTTAAACTAAAATGGGCTGGGCCACTGCTAGACCATACGTTTGAAAGTTTACTTTCATATTCATTTGGATTTTAATGGACCCAGGCCCAGGTTTCGGTTCGGGTTCAAAGTTCCCCGGTCTAATTTTTACGAACCGTTACGGTTCGATTATGTTCTGTTTTTACCTAGAATCAAATTGAACCGGACAGTGTGCTCATTGATACATTTTTCCCACTTGTTGAGAGATTAGCTGTCTACTTTGTTCAATTTGCGTTTGCTTTCTACTTAACTATTGTGTTTAAGAGCCAGAATGGTGGCTTAGAATTTGGCTAATTTAATTTCGGCTATCTACATTGCACAACACTTATCAACTGAACCAAGCATGTTATATCAATTAATTACTTCTTTGCTTATTGCAGAAAACAGAGTATTATGAAAAAGTGCAATTGGATTGGACTGAAGGGTGTAGAGTTAGTCCAGACAAGAGAAATTTACTACTTCTAAGATGCAAAATAAGGTAATAATATTATAGATAGCTCACTTTGTCTTGTTGAGATGAGATGAATGAGGTAGTTGTTATTATCAAATATAATAGTAACATTTTATTAAAGGACATTATTGTAAAATTAATAATAAGAGTGTTTAAAAAAATATTGTTAGCAAACAAATTAAAAAATATTTTATATAATATATTACCAAATAACTAACATGTTTTTTACTAACAACAATTTTTTAACAGTAACCCAAACACGCCTTGAATAAAAGGTCTAAACTGAAGTGGGCTGGGGAAGGACTAGACCATACATTTGAAGGCTCAAAGTTTTCTTTCATCTTGATTTGGATTTACGTTGACCCAGGCCCAAGTCTAGGATACTCTTAACTTTAACAGTCTAAACTAAAGTGGATTGGTCCAGTAGTAGGGCTAGACCATAGTTTGAAGGCCCAAACTGTACTTACCAGGCCCAGGCCCAGGCCCAGTCTGGAGCATACCCTGAGTACTCTCGCTCCCTCCTCCTCTGTTTCAATTTCAAAAAGACTCTTCAAAGTTCAACTCTTTTTTCTTCAATTCTAAGTTTCCCATCTCCCCTTTGTGTAAGAGAGAGAAATCTAGAGAGAGAAACGTATCCGAGCTTTCATGCTATCACACAACAACCAGTCATGCCTTCGATTTCAAAGAAGAGGCAAAAATCTGCCAAGAAACATACTAATAAACATATTACAACTACCACTCAATCTCCACCTACCTTTCAACTCCAAATAGGTTGGTTTTTTTCACTTGTCATTCTCATCTATAGACTATATATCATCAATTATATTTCACTTTTGGTCTCTCTCTCTCATTTGAACTTCCTCTTTTGATTTTTCTTATTGGGTATCTGCCAATTTTATGACTCATAAATTTTTTAATCATCCCTACAGTACCTGATGATCAGAAACTTTTTCAACACAGAGCGAACAGTTTAGATATCAAATCTCTGAAAGCTCAGAAACATCATCTGTCAGGTCAGTTTTTTCTTTCAAATCATAAAGAAATGGATGAATCTGAAAAAATTCACAATTTAGAAGACACGCACAAAGTGGAATTGGAATCTGAAGGGCGAATTATAGTGGTTGAGGGTGATGTTGCTGATGAAAACTCCGAGACGGTGAAAGAAACCCATGATGACAATTATGATGAGTCTACTGAGCCTGTTGTTGTGGATGCAGAGGAACCCAAGGAGGAGGAGAAAAGGGTTTTGCATTCAACTGAGCCTCCTGTTGAGTCATTGTCTGAAAAGTGTTCGACGAAAGTTCCAACAGAAGATGTTGTTGAATCAGAATCTAAAGAAATTGAGGTCAATGAGGCTGCTTCACCTGTTGCGAGTAATGGGGTTTTGGCACCTCTTGACATGGATGTGGTGTCAAAGGGAATTGAGCCGCCTTTGGATGAGAGTGAGACTAATGGGGTTCCTTCTGATATTGTAAAGAATTTGGTGCCAAAAGGAGTTGAGTCGTCTACAGATGAGAACAACGAGTGTGAGGCCTCTAATGGTGTATCGGATTCGATACCAGAGGAGGTGTTTGAGGAAACAGAATTGCCGGATTCAGATGGGAATGCAAGCTCAAGGGAGTTACCAGTTGCTGTTGAAAATGCTGCTAACATATTGCAGCCAGCTGATGACATTCCTGGTGTCCATGCTGATAATGGCGGTGAGAATTGCAATGCATCTGAAGGTCATGACAAAAACACAAACAAACAGGTTGGTGAATTTGATTTGGTTCTTCCTGGAAAGAATATATGCATTATGAAAACATTTTATGTTCTTTTTCCGTGTATTTTTATTATTTTCGGCAACATTTTTTAGCTTGTGCAATTATATGGGATTGGTTGATTTATTGGCTTCTTTATGTTTTGAACCATTTAACAGCCTTACATATCTTTGATTCCAAGTCCTGTACAACGGACTTCTTGGAGGGGTTGCTGTGGATTGTTTGAAGTTCTGAGACGTTCCAATTGCTAAATGGTAATTGTTGAAGGATTTATATATTTAAGTTACACCCTCTCTAGCAGTTTAAGCTTTTAGGGTAGATGGTTGTCAACATGGTATCAGAGTAGACAAGGTCCTCTGTTCAAACCTCTCCCTGATTTTAGAATAGATGGTTGTTAGCAGTAATGAAACTCAATTGGGTAACAATTTTCCTAGATATGTAACTGATGTTATGTCCCAAGCCTCTTTGTTATTTAGGAGATACACACTTCTTTCCAAGTAGTGCTGACGTGTAGATTCTGTTATCCTTTCTTAGAACATCTTTGCTCAATATCCGAGTGACAATCTTATCAGAGATTAATAGCCTGGATAATACTTTTGATTGTTTCTTCCAGTTTGAAATCACATCACTCATCTCTATTTTGTCTGTTATATTAAATTGGATTGACGTAGTTAGTGAAGAAACTATTAAAAACTGGTTTTATTTTTAAGTATTTTGGTGGCTGAAGACCTTTGTTGTTCATTATAATCTGCTGTCAGACTTATCAACCTTAGGTTTTCGAATAGTCTGCATGGAAATTTTAGAATTGTAGTGCTCATTGCTACATTTTTCCCACTGCAAAAATGTTCATGCATTGTTGAAAGATTAGCTAAATTTTAGTGTAATTTTGACTCATTTGGATGATATGTTTTATTATACAATTGAAGATATTTGGAGGGCCCATCCTGTGGCAAATCCTACATGACTGGACCACACAAATCTACTTTGTTCGATTTGCATCTGCTTTCTACACAACTATAGTGTTTAAGAACTAGAATGTTGGCTCAGAATTCAAGTTGCTGGACTGAACTTTTTGCTACAACGAAAAGATTTGACAAGCTATTTCATTTTTTGGCCATACTACATTGTAGGACACTCAACTACAACACTAATCAACTGAATCAAGCATGTTATCAATCAATGTGAAGCCCCTATGTTTAAATTTAGTAATTAATTACTTCTTTGCATATTGCAGAAAACAGAGTATTATGAAGAAGAACAATTGGATCTGAAGGGTGTTGGAGTTAGTCAGACGAGAAATTTACTAATTTTAAGATGCAAAATATGGTAAAACTTGTGTTCCACCGGTTTTAATATGTTCTCCATACGTATTTAATATTGTTGAAGAGGTTTGTCCTAATGAGTTGTGTTGAAATTGTGCTTAAGGCAGTACGTCTTTGGGAAGAGCCTTCTCTGTCTACTGGTCTTATTACAATATATTTTATGTGGTTTTTGAGTGTGATTATTCTGAATTTGTTAGAACAATTGCAATTGGGAGTAGTATTTTAGGGGAAGAGATTTCTGCTGTACTTATTACTATATTTTATGTGCTTTTCAAGAGTGATTATTCTGAATTTGTTAGAACGATTGTAATTGAGAGTTTGTTGGCCTAAGTACTATAGTTTCTTGTCATTGTTACAATATTAGCATCCTTGTGTTGTGTTGTATTTATTCTCTTCTATGCATTACTATGAACAGGGGTTCAAACTAATCAAATTTAATCCCAGGCTGTTTAGATATGTTAGTATGGTGTCATTTGTTTACGGAGCAAAAAATAATGACATGGATCACTGTCCGAAAGTGAGAATTTGTTAGAGAGTTGGTGATGCATATTCCCGCGCCACAATTGCTTACATTCACATCTGTTGAGGATGATGGTCTCAAGAACAGATACTAAACACGCCATTTTTGCTCCAAACTCTATACAACGATCGTACAATCACTTTAGCCATTGCCATAACCATTTCCACCACTAATGCTATAACCACCACCATTACCGACACCATCAAGAAGGCATGATCTTAGTATCCATGTTAGAATTTGTAATGTTGATGCATAAAACAAATAACCCGAGAGCCTAGACTATGCAGGGGTGGTCTTTCTGCCTTCTCTGGCTCCAAACTCTATGCAACGATCATACAATCACTTTAGCCATTGCCATAACCATTTATTGTCACTACTCTCAATCATATTCCAGCAACTGCTCCTGTTGACGACGCTGCCACTACTGGCCGGCAACTGCAGCTTGAATCCCTTCTCTCCATCTTCCATAACAACTAACTGCCTTGCCGCCATTTACACCTTCAATTGTCTTCTACTTTATACCCCATTTCTACCCCACTAATCATATTTCAGCTTATCCCAATTCCTTGTGTTATTGAGCAATCTGGGATTCCATCACCTTAGCCTTCTGCTCCGATCTCTTCAAAAGTGTTTGATGTTCATTCTTCACAATTTCCATTTTTTCTGTCTCCTTAAACGAACTCACAAACGTTGTCCATAACCACAGAACTAAATCCCCTAGCGAGACCCAACTTCTTGACTCTCACTCTTAGGGAAGTGGAAGTCTGTGACCTTATTTATGCCCGAGAACTGCAATACAAAGTACTTCACCAACAAAGCCAATGAAGATAAGCAGATTGGAGAGGTATGGATTTGAATAAGTTTCTTCTTCCCACCAACAGTTTGTTGTACAGTCATTTATGGTGCAGACTTATTTTATTTGTTTCCAATTACAATGAATGACAAAAACTGAAAATCTTTCAACACCGAAAAAGAGTCTTAAATACTTGTTGATGCATGCAAGACTGGAATTTGAATTAGGATCTATTGTAATGCACATGAACACGAGGGGTGTGAATATTCCCACCTGCAAAGTGAACTCCACACCATCTCCACCCTCCCCGTGGGTTGGGTACATCCTGCCATCCATCCGCGGGTTGAAGGATCAATGGACCGTAATACATTATTGTGAATTTAGAATAATTAAAATATAAGCTACTAGCAAAATCCACCAGACCCCTCTCATCAGTGGGTAAGAAATTCATATTGTCAGACTTCCAGCCATTTTCATCATATGGTTTACCTGTTAACATTGAGGAATACAATATATCCAAAGTTCCAAACGCAACACGCGTGATACAACCACCATTTTTTGATTAAAAAAAAAAATTAACTGCAAGCTGTTACTTTAATTTTGAGTTCATTCCTACTCAATGCTGTGAAACGAATTAAAATACTATCTCCACAAGCAATGAGAGAGCCAAGACACACAAGGTCCAAATGTTTGCTTCCAATGGAAACTAAACTAGAATTCAAAAAATGATCCCGACAACATTTTCCTTTCATCGGACTTGAGTTTTGTATTAGTCTCACACAATCCGCTCCAACTCCCTTGCGTAGCTGAGTGTCTGATTAATGAGCTGCAAAGATGGTATCTCCTTGCAAGGGGCGGATTCTTTTGCTTTCTGGAAAAATACAAACCCATTCTTTATCTCCCACTCGGGATGCTCCTGCAAAATTGCAAAGAAAATATTATTATTATTTTTTAAGCCATGAAGGATCCCTTTATCAGAAGTTTGCAATGATAATATCCTATTGGAATTTAAAGAATCCATAGAATAAGAATAGTGCACAATTCTAAAACCTCCCCAACGTACTTGAATTGCCTTTGTTCTCACAGTATTTGCCTCTTCCAACTACATATATGCTTTTTTTTTAGTTTTCAGAAATGGCTAGTAATTCATAGCTGGCTATTATTTTCAATGCTAAATAATTATTCAGCTTAGATGTATCAAAAAGTTCAAGCAACTGCACGAAAATATACCTCCTTGATATATTCAAAAAGTTCTTGGTCAGAAGAGAACAGCAACATTTGTCGAGCATCATTAATAGAAAGAGAGTCGTAAGCCTTTTCGCTGCACCCGGCTATTTCATCTCTACAATTACAAAATGAACTATTAATAAGCACACAAAAATTGCCACAGTTTAAGAGTTTGAATGATGTCATAAGGAGAGAATGTTTCTTTCAACTAACAACGTACAACCCAAGTGTTTAAGGCACACAGTTCATGCTTATTTCTCTAATTAAGATTTAATTTAGAGTCAAGATTGAAACCACCCACTTCAAACTCAAGCATGGAAATATAACACATACAAAATGAGGTAAGACAAATGCTATGGAAGACACTCTTAGAACAACCGGTACTACTAAACAAATAGAAGACAAGCACGTGGAAGCAGTTCCATTTGGCGATTGATTCCAATATTGACCTGGTTTAGCTCAAGATAGTGTATTTGGGGCTAATACAATGTATTGTAGGTACTAGTTGGAGAAATTTAAAAGTTGGGTGAAATACCCCGACCTCCCTGAAGTTTGGCCAAATATCTCCCCGCAGAAACTATTGTCAAAATAGTCCCCAACACCCCTTGAGGTTTGTCCCAATTTCTCTGACCAGGCCTGACGGCAGAGTTAAATGTGTCAATGGAATATTTTATTAATGCCCAAACTACCCTAAGTGAGAGAAAATAACTCAAATAACCTTGTTCGCATACCAAATAACCATTTCTTGTCAAAACAAAGTATTAAACAAATAATTCATATAATTCATCAAAATAGACATTGGCTAATAATAATTCATCAACAAACCACTTGTTCAAAAAAAATTTGTCGTCAATTGCCCACAAAAAAATATTTTCTCTGCAAAAACAATCCAAAAGGGTAGATATAAGAAAGGCTAGTTTTGTCCAATTAAATTTGGTTGAAATGGTTATTTGGTATTTTAACAAGGTCATTTGAGTCATTTTCTCTCACTTAAGGGTAGTTCAGGTATTTAGAAAATATTACATTGATTAACGTTAGGGGTGGTTAGAGAATTTGGACAAACCCCAAGGGGTGTCGGGGTTTATTTTGACAAATCTCAGGGGAGGTCAAGGGGCATTTTGACAATAGTTTTAGGTAAGAGATAGTTGGACAAACCTCAAGGGAGGTAAGGGTATTTCACCCTAAAAATTTCATGGTTTGTAAGGATGAAAGGAAAGGATAAGGTTTTGGGGTTTGAATTAGGCAAAGGAATATTGATGTTTCAAGGTTGTTCTGGACTGTGAACAGTACCCACAAACAATAATCAAGCACTGGTTGCATTTCTTTAATGCCCTAGGCTTAAATGATTGAATATGGGAAGAGATCGGGCCCTATTCTTTTTCTTTTTCCCTTAAAGAGCAATTTTGCTGGAATCTATGTCAAAGGTTCCTGAAATTTCTGCACAGCGCCTACTCCCTACTCGTATTTTGGGTATTATATATATATACTTTGTTGTGGTGGTGGTGTGGTGGGGGGGGTGTGAGGTGGGTTTTGGGTGGGGGATGAGAGAGAGAGCATGGGCCTAGAGCTGAATAGACAAAAAGAATGCTTGTAGCTGACCTAGGTAGATTCAAACCTCATTAGACATCTTTTAAAATGACAGTTGATTGTTGTATACAGAAAATTCTTGCCATATACAAAATTAAAGTAGCAAATGTGAGAAAGGAAGTATAATAACCAAGTACCAACACAATTAACATGGACTTGACTTGGCACAATTTTTAATGAAAAAGTCGTATCACTACCAAAAAAAAAAAATATATATATATATATATATATATACGCGATTAGGTAGTGTTATGACTAGTCGCTCGACTGTCTCCTTTACATGAAGCTAGGAGGAGTGGCCCCAACACAGACCCAACACTTGACTTTTTTTCATAAAAGTAACTGAAGCTTAGTAGTCCAAGGTATACCATTGCACTGAGTGTAACATACAAAGATCGTTCTTCTTTCAAGTGCCCATGAAAAGATTGATATTAATGCCAAACGTTTGATTCATGTAGGATATCGCCCAACTCCCCGCTAAGTTTAACTGTTGCCTGCAACTGTCCACTAACTACTACTCTTGCTACTCTTCTGTAGTTCTTGGGAGAATCTAAAGTTGTGGTACCATAGAAAACTCCTACCCCAAATAATTAAATAAGTCAAAAACACGCAAAACAGTAGCAAAGGTGCTGGTTTAATGTAACATATCTTTCAACTGTTCTCAAATCCTTTCAATTTTATTTTTTTTATTTTTTTATTTTGGGAATGTAAATCCTTTCAATAATTGCCATAAGTTGAAGTGAAACAATTTACCTCACTGTCTTTGCCAGCAAATCCATGAAATAAACATAAGTTTCATGGGGTACCGTCTGTCTAGCAGTCAACACTCGATTGTAAGCTCCTTCCATGAAGGATTGTTCCAGTTCTACAGCATGCTTAATACAAGGATTCTCCAGAGCAGCAGTGGATAGCAATTCCAGTTCGGTGTGAAATTCAGCAATTCTATTCTGCACAAGGAGTCTCAGAAGGTTGAGACCTAAGATCGGGTACTCCTGACGGGATGGTAGAAGACGACCACTGCTTCATCAAAGGAATCAGAAGTCATAAGCACTGCCTTTAAAATTTAAAAGGTGAGCAAGTCATACAAGAGAACTGGTAGCAGAAAAATATTAGCAGCAGGCTATTAAATGAGTAAAGATTTCATATATAAACATGATCCCTATAAGTTGTATTTGTACTTTCAAAGAGGACTTGCAGATAAAGCCACGTTGACATACCTAATTCATCAGTGAACCATATGAGATAATATGCAAATTCTGAGAATTTTCAAACACAAGCGATTGGAAAAATATATATTTATGTTGAGGTGCTTTTACCTATCTACAATTGTTTTGTTGAACATTTGTCAATGTGGTATGCTTCCAAAAGTGGCAGACACATGGTACACCATACATGCCTAAACATTCATCATATGCCAAAATCACATACACTCTTCAAGCTAAGTTAACAACTGCCATATATTCAGTATAGCACTTACATTCGTTCATAATTTAGGTAAGTTATATCAAAATCAGCATTCATGTGAAAGACAGAGAGGATATAACTTGAAAAAGAAGGCAGTTGACAACATGGTATTCTTCTCAGTTCTCACATAAGCAAATCGGTATTAAGTCTATTTTGGTCTCTATATTACGCATAAATACTATATTACTTTAAAGAACAAAATGAACACATTAAATAAAATGAATATTCACTCATTTGAAGTAATAATATAATAAAATATAATAATTGAATATATTTTTTAGGTGCACGTCGAAGCAAAAGTGTCAGACACATATCTCATACCCATGTCCGAATAATATGTGTCGGACACGGGTACTTCACCTACTTTGGAAGAGTCCATGTAACATAGGTATTTACTATGCATGCAGCATGGACAAATGAAAGTAGGGGTGCTGTTCTTGCCTAACCAATCTAACCAGTCTATGAAAGACACAGGTTATAACTTGAGGAACAAGGCAGTTAACAATATGGTATTCTTCTCACATAAGTAAATCAGGGTATTTGCTATGCATGCAGCATGGACAAATGAAAGTAGAGGTGCTGTTCTTGCCTAACCAGTCTACCTCAGCATGTAAAAGATGAAATTTGAAGAGAAAACCTGTTGTTGGAACAAAATTGAGTCCTATAACAATTGAATGTTAATATGATATCCAGCTCAAATTGGAACGGTCACGTCAAGCAACTGTATCACATAAATTTCTGCACCGGTCTATCCCAGGAAAGGAAAAGAAGGGGCACGGACCAGTGGCTGATCCAGGAACCTTTTCTTGTGAAGGCCAATATACATATAACATAACTCAAAAACAAAATAACTAAGAACTTGTCCCGAGTCCTGTTTCAAGGAAAAGAAGGGGCATGGACCAGTGGCTGATCCAGGAACCTTTTCTTGGGGAGGCCAATATACATATAACATAACTCAAAAACAAAATAAATAATAACTTGTCCCGAGTATTTGGGATCAGCTACCAGAGTCCTGTTTCAGTCAAACTATACCCTACCATATCTTTCTTTTTTCAGAAAAGTATTCTACCATACCATTTTACTATGTTGATACATGTTAATTTTGGTTTTTCCTTCCCCTAACATTACTCCAATGTGGATTACTACAACACTGTTCTTCGTTAGTGTAGTTATTGGTTTACTATAGGCAACGTTACACATGCCAAATCATTTTAGTCAATTTTCTCTTATTTAATCTCCAACTGGTGCCACTTCAAACCATTTAGTAAACATATTAAAATAATTGTTTCTAACTTCCCCCTTATTATTTCATCATACAGTAATCTACACATTTGCATTTCAACCATTTACTTTTTAGCCACCATCATTCTAGTGTATAAGGCATTGTTGGTCGAATAACCATTTTATACCTTCTATTTTGAGAGGTATACGTTGGCACACGATATTGATAGAAGAAGTCTTGCATTGCCCAGTGGCTCGTGATTGCTGGTGTTGGTTTTGGGCTTGTTTGGGGTTCAGTGGGTTACACCCAGGTCTTCCAGAGGGTTAGTTGAGGCTTGGAGAGGTTGTATAGTTGGGGCCCAAGTTCTTGATTTCTGGAGGGTCACGCCTTTGTGCTTCTAGTGGTGTTTATGGCTTGAAAGAAATAGGAGATCCTTTGAAAGAAAGGAGACTCCTATTGGTGCGCTTAAGTTTTCCATCATTAGTACTCTTTTTTGTTGGGTTCTAGGGAGAAATTGTAAATCAATGGAGGTATTTGGCCTTGGGCTGCTTTTGAGGGATGCGTTCCCCTTTTGATCGCCTTTTTAATAAAATCTTACTTATCAAAAAATAAATAAATAATAGCTCCAACCAAATCTTAATTTTTTACAAGTATTGAAACATCATATTTAGATGCGAAATTGCGAGGAATTCAAAATTTTCAAATGATAAATGAGATTAGAATCTAAAAAAAAAAAAAAAAAAATCCAAATGAGGCAAGAGTATGTAGAAAAGGATAGAAGAAATTCCAAAGTTAGAGCATTGAGGTGCATCTGATAACTTGTATTGATTTGGAAGGGGACCAATTCTCGCTCTTAGGGAGGACCGTGACAACTCCTTCCTCCACCAAACCCCGAAATAAGATCCACCATTTAGCATGGAAAGAGTGTTGTTGTTTATTATATGGCTCCAAGTCAAGCAAACCATGGGAATGGGCATTCCAGCCTCCAACCCATACCTTACTTGGAAATGACTGAGTTAAAGACAAGGAAATTTTACCCTGCATCTGTATAGTAAGGTTTCAGCTGAAAGAAGTCCCTCTCAAAGGCATCCTGATCTTCAATCTTCACACTTAGAACAACTGCATGCTCATATATATCCCCTGAAAATTGTCATGATAAGAGGAATCAGAAATGGAAACAACTTTGCGGAAAATGAAAGTGACTGCACCAGATATAATACATAAAACCTCAAATTGGAAGCTCATTGTAAGTCTTGGCTCATGCACTTTACAATGCATAATGAGATACCCTGTTATGCAAACTATTGTTCAACCTAACTTGTTATAGAGTTAACTTAATAAATAAAATAATTTATTTACCATCATTCCCCGAGGTTTGATATTCCAAAATAGTTAAAACACATACTTTGAATCCATGCCAGGGGTTCACACCCAAGCCCAAAGGAACAAAAAGCAACCCAACAACGTCAGTTATTGAAAGGACGTTGATTATCATTAATGCCAAAAAAAAAAAAAAAAATTTAAGGGTTAATTTCACTAACACCCCCTCAGGTTTGGCCAAATATCACCTTGAAACACCTTTCGAAAATAACTACCACTTAAGTCCAATTTTACTTTTCCGTTGTTGACACCGTTAAAAACGTGTGAAAAGACAACTTTGTCCCTAATTTTTTATATTCATTTTAATCCAAAATATCAGCAAACTTTATTGACAAAATTGCCCCATTAGTTTCTCTATCTAAAATTGATACACTCCTCTTCTGCACACCCGTGCCCCCGCCATCCCACCTCCACAAGGACCACCACCACCACTATATTAAACCACCTGCACCACCATCATCCCCACCCCTACAACCACTCTATGTTTAGGCAAAAAAAACCACTGCATGTATACTTTACAATATATATAAATATAATATATATATATATATATATATATATATATAGACACACATACATATCATTGTGAAATCTGAAGTTGAAGATTGGAGTATACGGAAGCAGAAAATGGGCATCGAGCAACTTACAGATAAAACTTTTCTAAGCGAGCCTACCAACTCCATCATGTTATAACAATAAAATAAAATTGGATGCCCACTGATGATAAACATGAATTAATTGCATATAAACTATGAACTAATCACTTTTGAATTGATTAAAGATATATTGTCAGATGGGCAAACTTTGTTTAATTTTGATTCTGATAGGTGAACAACTTTGTTTAATTTAAAGAGGCCCTTCAAATCTTCAACCCTAATTTGATCAAGCACTTACACAGAAAACATGCCCTCCTAATCAAGTTCAAATCATTACATGTTGCACTAATTGTATAAATGAAAGCCTACCAATTGATGAGTAACAGATAAAAAAAATCAAACAGATTATTAAATGCGACGGAACAATGTTCTGCAAGTGTGGATCTGCCAAACGCAATCGGGGGAGGAAAAAGAGGATGCTGGGAAGCGGCGGAGCTCCGCCGCCTAAGGGGTGGTGATGCTTCTTTTAAGTGTGAAGTGTGGACATGTCAGACCCTGTTAGTGGTGGTAATTGATTGGGGCATTGGTACTTTGATCGGCACAATTGTAGCTTGGTTTACAAAGTTGCTAGTTGGGAGGTGGAGGAGGAGGTTCGCCGGAGAAGAGGGGTTCGCCGACGAGTGGTGGCGCTGTGATGGGTTTTAACTTTGAACAATTGATTCACACAATCTCTCTAAATATATATATCATCACTACATATATACACACGCGCGCGTATATATATATATATATATATTAGTCTGGGTGGTTGTTGAAGATAAGTTATAGAGAGTGAGTGAGTAGAGAGAGTGGTAACTGGTGGCGGTCGGCGGCACTAGTGGTGGCGAGGGAGGGAGAAGAGGCTACATGATGTGTGTGTGTGTGTGTGTGTGTACATATTCATATATATAGATACTATATTCATATCATATATATAAATAATATAATTGTAAATTTGTAAAATATTTACGGTATTTTAGTCTTTTTATTTAATTATGTAAGTTAGAGAGCTCTTTTGACAAAGTTAAAGGTATATTTAAGTCATTTTATGAGCTCTGACACATGTGCAGGTTACGATTGGGGTGTGAGTGAAGGACGGAACAAACGTTTGCACTATGAGTGATAGAAATTTTCGAAAGTTTTTTCAATGTGATATTTGGCCAAACCTAAGAAACCCTTTCTTTAAACATAAAAGAAAATTTATGCCCCACCCGTTTAAATAACAGATTACTACTAACACTTTCCACTTCAGATCATTGGCAATTAGAAATATGAAAGAGAAATGTAACAGTTTTAGATTTCTAAGCATGTCCCACGGCAACAGAAGTACATAATCAATTACCATACAAGAAATAAGTTAAGAGGCACAAAAGAAGAGAAGACATAGATGGGTATGCATCTCTCTGTCTGAGACAAAGCCCAATACAGTAAGAAGCATGTGAATTGACAAAAAACAAGGTTCATCAACAAAAGCACAACAAAAAGAAAAAGGAAAAAACATAAAAGGAAAACAAACGATATATCTTATAGAGTCAAAAATCATACTTGCTATTGTCAACTCATTGATTGCATTAGGTGTTTCTTCAAACAATGGTGGAAGGCTTTTAAACTCTGTCAGTAAGACCTGCAAAATGAATTGAAGATCACTCGCAGCATATGCTGATATCAAGGACTTAAAATAATAACAATGAACTTGTAAACAAGAACTTCAGTTGTGTCAGCTTATTTTTATTCGCACCAAATTCAAAGTTGGCCAAAACTAGAGATTCTGGTACAAAATTTCCCAGATTTGCTAGTTGCAAGAGATTGATAAATAAAGACATTCTGAATCTAGCATGGCATTTGTAATGGTATCAATAAAGTCATAATCTACTGGAACTCTCACCATGCATCACTTCACCAAGAGCAGTGTATGTGCAATTTTCCTTTATTTTTTCTTTTTCGTTTTTCGTGTATCTTTCAAACAATGTGCTTTTATTTCTACCAATTATAGCCTCTCTTAGTAATGGGATGTCTGTCACGCCCCATGCCCTGCCTGGGACATGAGGTTTTTAAAAATTAAGATAATAATCTAAACTTTAATCAAGTGTGCAACAGTTCCATTTTAAATGAAATTTATTAAATAGGACAAACATTGAGTTGTTTCAACCTTGAATACTTGGTTCCTCTTTAATTTGGTAATCAAGTTTTTTTTTTCAAGTAATTAAAATAATCACAATTTCAAGTTGATGATGCAATTAAATGCTCCACCTAAGCTTTCAGCAGGAAAATACCAAATTTAAAGTTCCTGCAACTTGATTAGACTATTATGAAATGTACAACAGAGTATAATAACTTACAAAAGACATTCAAAATCACCCAAAAGAATAAATAAATGAAATCACCATACGTCGGATTCTTAAAACATACAAAACTAAGGTAACGTGCACTTAAGTACATGGTCCGATTGCTATATGCAAGCCATCAGCTATATTCTACATGAGAGTATTTTCGTTAATGGCTCTGAGTAACAAACTGCGTAATTATAGCTTTGGCAAAGAAACTAGGAATGGATATCAGGATGCTAAAAATATTTGATATGGCAGGATTAAATAATCATTGTAACCGAAACCCTAGGCTGTCTCAAATGTTAAAACTTCACTGGTAAATTTCTGCACATAATTAAGTATAGAAAGATGGAGACCTAAAGTTTCGATCAAAGCCCTATAAGTCGAGTTGGACAAAATAAAATTCTCAAGTATAGTTACTGCGAAGAAATCAAAAGATGATAACTAGTTCATAAATTAACCCCAAAATTGCAATAGATTTCAATAAAAAGAAATTAGGGTTTTGAAATTGGACAAAGCTGATTTTGGATTTGATCTTGTTACCTTGAGTTGAGAAAGGAGATTATCACAAGCATCAAAATCATTCCGAATGAAAGCTGCTTTGAATCGTTCGAACAGTTGTAAGACCTCTGTCTGCTTCGTCTCCATCTTTCACTCTTCTTCACGCTGTTTCTGACTCCTTGATTTATATAAAGCTTCCTTTCCTTTCCTTTCCTTTCCCCCCTCTCTCTTCTTCTTTATATAAAGCTTCCTTTCCTTTCCTCTCTCTCTTCTTCTTGCTGTTTCTCACTCCTTCATTTATCTAAGTCTTTGTTTGGATGCACATGAGTTCATTTGGATGCACGTGAGTTCATTTATATAAAGCTCCCTTTCCTCTCTCTCTTATTGTTGTTTCTCACTCCATGATTTATCTAAACTATCTTTCCCGTTGTTTTGTCTCCAAATCCCTTTGAATCCCTCAATTTAAAGGAAGCCTAAATTTTCCTTTCCTCCTTCACAAGACTTCCGACACTATGCTTTGTTGGGATTTGGAAAAGGAATAGGACTGAAATTTCATTGCAACAAGTTAGATTTGAAATGGGTATGAAATAAATATACTTTTATAATGATAAATTAAATATTTATTTTATTATAAATATATTCCAAAGTTACATCAAATATAAACAAACAAAGTGAATGACTAACTTATTTATTAAATAAACATAAAATCTATTTAACAAATTAATTAAAAAAGAATAATTATTTATTAATTAAAAAAAAAAAAAAAAAAAAAAACACTAACCTATTGCACTACCACCACCAACATATTTTTAAAAAAATGCTAAAATTTAACTTAAACCTAAGCATTGATTTAATTAATATTTTAAATAAGTTCATTTATTAAATACTGAGCATGTTTAATAAGTATATTAATTAGTTTGCAACAAAAATTACTCAGCATATCAAACAAAAGTTTATGTGTGTATATATATATATAGCATTGATTTAATTAATATTTTAAATAAGTTCATTTATTAAATACTGAGCATGTTTAATAAGTATATTAATTAGTTTGCAACAAAAATTACTCAGCATATCAAACAAAAGTTTATGTGTGTGTATATATATATATATATATTGATAACTAATTATTATATAATTTACTCAGCATAACAACTACTAGTAATAAAAAAGTATGCCACTCAGAAATTGATACACAACAATTTATACACTAAAAAATTAACTAGTATATTAATTGATGGCTATAGTTTCGATTATAGATTAAATTTTTAATTATTAATATATTTATTAATTTTTTATATAAAAGGCTTATGAACGTGACTTATAAAAATGTAATAATTTATTCAATTTATAACGTATAAATATAAGATTTGTTGCACATGGTGAATTGTGAATGATTGAATTATATGACTTTTGGTTACAAAATTCTGTCATATTATGTATATATATTTTAGGTACAAAAATACAAAACTGATGGTGGATCAATGTGCAGGATGTAGTTTGAGATATTGAAGAATACCAAATAAAAAACGATGATATTTGATTACTACTAACTTGTACATTGTTATATTCTCAAGATTCATAGATAAAGATATATATAGATTCCAACTATATTTAATAGGTTAGAGTTAATAGGGAGATTCTAATAGGTTAAGTAATATTTAATAAGATTAATTACGAAAATATCATATTAAACAATATTTATCTATCAAATCCTAGCGTTTTGCCTCGTTGGGTTGCTCCTTTTGGGTTAACTTTTAATCAATCTGAATGGCCCATTACACTTATTGTGGCCCTGTATATAATTTATAATTTATATATATTTATATAAACAAATAAATATATAAAATTGCTCCTTTTGGGTTAACTTTTAATCAATCTGAATGGCCCATTCCACTTATTGTGGCCCTATATATAATTTATAATTTATATATATTTATATAAACAAATAAATATATAAAAATCGCAATAATAACAATTGTGAAACCTTTGTAAGACATTTTAAAATGTGCATTGGGCATTCAAAATTCAAAACATTTCTTATAAGAAAACAATATTAACATTATTTAGTATAAAAGATGAGTTCAACTATTTCAAGATAAAATTACAAAGGACAATGCTTGAGTTCTGTCCTTTCTGGACAAATTTTGTCTTTCAGTGTTGTTAGGGTTGAATTTCGCCGTGGCCTGGTACAACACTATTTCCTGTAAAATAAAGACGGCTAAGTCCGGCACCAGTGTGGTGCTGGTCATAGACCTTCCAACAATTAAGTTAGTGGGGGTTTAGAGAGAGAGAATTAAATCATAATAGCTGAAATAAGATTTTTTGTATATCTACCTCATTCCCTCGTCCCTTGTATTTATGGTGTTTTGTCGATGTAGGCTGTTGAACAGAATCCTACTTGTAGAGATTCTGCTTATCATCAATAACCACTTCCAATATCGTCATTAACGGAATGTCGTCATCCCTATTTGGCGGCTGGTCCACACTTTTTATTTCTATCATTAAGTCAAAGTAGGTTTTATTTACCTTATCAGTTACCCTCTATTTCCAAGGACATTTCGGACCAAGGAAATACTGGTTAATATATATATATATATATATATTTATTTATTTATTTACCTCCCCCCCACCCCTTTTTTTTTCTTTATCTTTTTTTTTTTTTTTTTTTTTTTTTTTTTTTTTTTTTTTTGTTGTTGTTGTTGTTGTTGTTGTTGTCTAAAATCCTTTAAACTGGATCTTGACTTTGAGTTTTCTTATAGATCGTTGTAGTTATTATCATTTTTATTCTGGTTTTTCCAAACTTCAATTTGCGAGGTACGTAGTTGAGTCCAGACGTCTCTGTCGAGTCGTTGGTGTAATTCCATAGTGGTTTTGTTGTTTCCATGATATCCACAATCTCATCATGTCTGTGCATGAAGATAATTTGAATGTTGAATCCCAATCTCAAAACTCAAATTCTGAAAGTGTCGAAGAACTTGATCCTGATTATGTTGGCGAATCTGGTATTGATTACCCCTCAAGACCAAGGACTGCTTTTTCCAAGCAACCCATACATGAAGGAGAATACTCAATTAAGGATGAGAATTTACATAATTTTAGATTTAAATATTCTATTCATTCATCTATTCACCTTCATAAACCCAAACCAGAGGATAAATGTTCTTTTGTTCGTTTTGGTGAGGTATGCTTTTTCGAGTCGACCTTTACTGCTGGTTTGCGTTTTCCGATTCATCCATTTGTCGAAGATTTACTTTCCCATCTGAAGATAGTTCCTTCTCAAATTGCCCCTAATTCATGGAGAATTATTATAAGCTGTTTGATTATTTGGGGAAGGTGTGGCAATGGTCGCTTAACAGTAGATCAATTCTTGCATTTTTATTATCCAAAGAAAAAGGATGACTTTTGGTACTTCCAGTGTAGATCGAAGAAGATATTCCTCATTGAAAGCAATAAAGGCTGGAATAGTCGTTTCTTTTTTTATTTCCGGTGTGTATGGGAAATTTCCAAGATTTTGGAGTAATTCAGATCTTGCAGGTAAAGATTTTTTTTTTGGGCACTGTTCACGAGGTGAACATTGCCGTGGCTACTGTTCCCTACGATTTTTTTTATTTTAATTTAAAATTATTTGCAATGTCATTTTTATAATATTATTTTTTATTTTTTTAACCATTGGGCACTGTTCCGGAGGGAACAGTTCGATTTTTTATTTTTACCCTTAGGCAATGTTCGCGAGTACTGTTCCTGAGGGTACAGTTCGATTTTTTATTTTTTTCACCCTTGGGCACTGTTTACGGGTACTATTCATTTAAATTTTTTTGTGTATATAAAATTGTAACTTACAATTCTTTTTTCAGACTTCAAAGACAAACCAACTCTCTCAACCCTAGAGGAGAAAGATGTATGTAACGCCCTTGGTTACCCAATGAAGACCTTCAATGCTCTTGTGACTAATCAAACTTTACAGTTGTATGTACTAGCCACAAGCTCAATTGAAACTCCTATCCCTTTAGAGAAAGGTAAGAAAAATGAAGGTACCCATGTTTATATTTACTAGATTTAGTCAGTTTTTCATTAATTTGTTTAATTACTCTTTATTTAGGCAAGAAACTTAGTAAAAGACTTCTGACCCAAACCCGGTCAAGTAATCTTCCCTCTACTCCTGCTTCCAAAAATTACGAAAGGTAGGAGAGGAACATCAGGGTAGATCTTCAAGCTCTGGAGTGTTATTAGGACCTACTCCTATATCTTTAGGTTTCGGTAAATTTGGTAGGATTCCTACGGGATTCGAGAGTTTTGGTTCGGTGTCAACTTCCACCAACTAAGCCTTTTCCCAGGAGGAATCAGTTCTTGATAACGCTAGTGTCGTGTGTGACAGGTTATATAAAATGGTGGTAAAAAATGACTCTGCCAAATTACAGAACCTGCCGGTAGCTGAGCTTTCACTGAAATTTCTTCACCTAATTAGCCAAGTGAGACTTTACTCTTATTATGTACACCCCTTTCTTTTTTAACTATTTGCCACTATTTATTTATTTATTTTTAGGACACTACATACTCTATTGTCATTGCAAAAGAATACGAGAAGCTTTCCTTAGAGATAGCTTCCCTAAAGGCTAAATACGAAGGAGTTACTTTTACACTTAAAAACAAAGAAGATGACTTGGCTAATGCAAAATTAAGCTTTCAAGAGGAAAAAGTGAGACTTACCAAAGAATACTCTGATAAACTTGAACTTGAGAAGCCAGTTATCGTGGAGAGCTTTAAAATTTCAGATGAGTTCAAGGTGCTAATAGGCAAGGCTTGTTGTGATGGTTTCGACCAGTTCAAAGCCGTTGTCAGCAAAGATCGTCCAGACAGAGATTTTTCTATGTATAATATTCAAGTTGAGAGAAAAGAAGAAGATTGAGCTCCATATTAGTAGTGATTTATATATATATATATTAGGTTTTCTGCTTTCTTAGCATGTCGCTCCCTTAAAAACTTTTCAGAATTTTTCTTATTTCAGAAAGTAATTGTGTAGTTGTTTTTGACGTTTTGCCTTCTATGGTGTTGCTCCATATTTATTATTTCTTTATGTATAACTACTTCTCTATCGATACGGTTCTCCCTTTGTGGCATTGAACACACCTTTCTTAAAGGAATATTCAAACACATTTTCGGGCTTCACCCAACCTGTCCTTCTACTAAAAGAATGTGTTTTTATGAGCTTCACCCAGCTCATCCCTTTAATAAGG